GCACGAATTCGAGAGGGCGCGTTTTCATCGGGAGGGATGATGCTGGTGGCCAAGGAGTTCGGCGCGCTGTCCCCGCCCGCGGGGGCGGCGGCGGCGGCGCGGAGGTGGGCCCCGCCGTCCACGGCGCGGGTGTCGCCGAGGGGCGGGTCGCCGGTGGGGGACCTGTGGCTGCGGACGCGGGGAGGGGGGGACGGGCCCGGCGGGAGCCAGCACGGGAGCCACGAGAGCGACATGGACCTCGCCATGCTCGTCAGCGACTTCCTCGAGGGCGGCGGCGGGAGCGGGGGCGACTCGCGCGGCAGCAGCGACGGCGAGCCCGGCGGCCTCCACGACCTCGCCCACCTCGCCGACAAGATCTCGGTACGTGCCTTGCGCCTCCCGGCGAGCCACCCTCCCGCTCCCCGCCTCCTCTCATCTGCTCTGTTCATGTGAATTTTCAGTTTCGTTTGGGGCCGAGGTAAATTTTCCCCAAATTGTGCTGAATTCATTTACCCAGGCCGGTTGGTTAGGTGGCTGGCTGCGACCTAATTATTAGCGATTCCCAGCCTCTGATCAGTACAGGTTGGAGGAATATTTCTGGAACCACGTAGGAGTATATTTAGCGATTGCTTCCAAATGAATTTGTCCTTACTAGCACAATTTTGGTAGCAGTTGCTTCCAAGTGAATTGCCGTTAGTATCTATCTATGGCGTTGCTTTGTTTCGCTCTGAATTTTATCTGTAACAACAGCTCATGGTAACATCACCAACAAATTTTGATATGCCTGGCATGTTTGATTTGATTTGACTCCATGGCCACAGTACAAAAGAATGAATTTACCATTATAGAGAGCCCTCCCAAATGAATTTGTCGTTACTAGTAGTACATTTTTGGTAGCACTTGCTTCCAAGTGAATTTTCGTTAGTATCTATGGCTGCCCTGTTTTGTTTTGCTCTGAATTTACTATGTAACCACAGCTCATGATAACATCGACGACAAATTTTGATATGCCTGGCATGTTTGATCCGATTTGACTCCATTACCACGGTGCTAAACAAAAATCTACAATGACCATGCTGGCTTGCAGCTGTAATTTTGATTACACAGCAGTACAATTTAGTTGTCTCTCAAGTTTTGATTGCACAGCAGTACAATTTTGTCCCAACTACCATGATTCTACAGACCATTTTTATGATTTAGCCCTATTGCTCAGGGGTTAAAATAAAGCATCAGCGTGGGCACCAGTTGTCCCCTGCTGTAATCATGCCATGTGCGTCCTCATCAAGCCTTGGTTCAGAGAAGGCACCGGGCTATCATTTTTGCTCATTCATTAGTCTTGCCTAGAATGATAATTGGATAACTTAACTTAGTATATGGGCTGTTGTATGCTGGAGCTGACATTTTGCACATCCATTTTAGATGTACAAGCAAGCTGGAGACGAGAAGGAAAACGAGCTGCTCTCCGTGGTTCACTCGCTGCTGTTCTCCATCCATGAGACAGAGCTCCAGGATTTCGTAAGAGGTCAATGCACTGGCAGCTGCATCCGTCATCTACTCGTGAAGCTCCTGAGGTACTCGGGATACGACGCGGCCGTCTGCGTGTCCAAATGGCAGGGGTTCGACAAGATACCTGGAGGTAAACACACCAGACCAAGGCTTGGCGACTTGCGCTGTTCAATTTTCTCTAGAGAAATTGAGCTGTGTGACTGAGCTGTTTATTGTTTTGCCAACCAGGTGACCATGAGTACATTGATGTCATAATAGACAACGACCTGACGGGTCCAGAGCGTCTGATCATCGACATCGACTTCAGGAGCCACTTTGAAATAGCCAGAGCAGTCGATCCTTACGGCACCCTGCTGGACTCGCTCCCGGTGGTCTACGTCGGCACCCTTCCAAGACTGAAGCAGTTCCTGAACGTGATGGTCGACGCGGCGAAATGGTCCCTGAAGCAGAACTCCATGCCCCTGCCTCCGTGGAGATCCCTGTCCTACCTCCAAATGAAGTGGCACTCCAAGTACGAGCGGAAAGGCCTGCAATCTGAGCAGCAAGAGTTCCAGGGCGCATCCCCGAGCCGCACGCTGTGCTTTGGGCATCTGAAGCGGCTGAAATCCTCACTGCGGTTGGAACTCGAGACCGGAAGGTTGCTCATGATGCCGGTCATGCAGGCCGGCACGAAGAGGACGGCAATGTACGAGAGGCGGCGTAGACGCTCCCTGCTCAGCTTCTGATGCTTCTTGGATGCAGAAATTTTTGGGAAAAGGAGAGGGTCTTTCTTTTTTGCGGGATTTTGACAGTTAAATGGGAGGTAGACGGTGGGTGCTAAGCACTAACAGAGGAGGAGAGTGCAGGTTACATGCCAGGTTTTTTTCTGAAGGCATATATACAAAAGAGAAAAAATACACAAAATTCTTTTTCAATTTCATTTTTGTTTCTTGGGCGAAAGATGGATGCTGGTGATGAACCCGCTAGCATACCATGTATGTACAACCGAGAGTTGTTACAAAACTTTCCCCTTATATTGATTTTTGATCGTATATGTTCGTCCTACCATGTGTGTTTGTATTTTGGAGAATTATATATGTTGTTGTGCTTCACTTGGTTCCGAAGGAAATGATACTCCCATGGAACAACAAAGATCAAATGCTGGTGTTTCGGAAACGCCGTCCCGCCGCCACTCGCCGATGTATATTTCTAGAGGCATGCTCTAGCCTTTTCCATCATCCTCTTGTCCCCTCTAATGATGTCTCTGTGATTGAAAAATAGGAGAATCTGGGAAAGAAGCGACAGCGGCAGCGCGTGTCGTATATGTTATCATGTGGCGTGTCACTAGATCCGAGAGGGATACTTTACGGAAAGAAGGGGGATTTGCGAGGAGAGAAAGGAACATTGAGAAAAGGAGATGCAGGTTGCAATGGCTAACACAGGTTTGATTCCCCCTGGCTCTGCTGAGTAGCTCTTTCTGTCGCAGCCAAGTTCATCATGATGTTTGTCTGCCCATCCACTGCCCCCCGTTGTTACCAATGTCTTTCTTTGTTAAATAAACAACTGGGGAAAATCAATCATGTGAGTTGTTAAAATTAACAATTATTCGAGCAATGGTTGCTGCTCGCTAGTCGCTTGGGTGTTCATGTCGGCCGGCCTATCCTTGGAAACACTTCAGACCTATTACAGTTTAACTAGGAGCAATAAATGAAATAATTTAAATCCATAACAGCAAAACAAAAAAAATGGATGGGGCGAGAGAGGCTCGAACTCTCGACCTCAGGATCACTCGCATATAATTTATCTATGAGACCTACGCGCTAGCCAACTGCGCCACCGCCCCATCACTCGCATATAATTTATCTATGAGACCTACGCGCTACCCAACTGCGCCACCGCCCCATCGTGTTTTTTCTTTTTATTAATTACCTATCCGTAATAATATTTCTGAAGCCAGTAAAATAGTCTCCAGCTGCGAGGCATCAGTTAGTGATCTGATTCTACTCATGTTCATTCCCAGCACCAGTTTTACGTATGCAACCTCCAGATATTCTAGACGGTGTGTGTGTGTGTACATTTCGATTTCAGCAAAGCTGATGCAACATCAGGCAAGCTCATCTTGTTCATTTCATGGCCGACACAGTGATAATAACTATCAACCAATCAGTTAATGATTCCAACGACCCCATGGTTCTCAAGAAAAGAAAAGAAAAATGCAAAAATATGGAGCCTACTTCTCAAGGATCCATCATTCCAACAAACTGTACTTTGGGGGCACAAATGGACCACCATCTGATCCAGCCCTTGCACTTCTTTTATGCAGGTTCATTGGCCAGCAAACCAATCCATCCGATATAAAAACAGATAATAGCAGGTTGTGATAAGATATTATTCATACTAGAATCCAAGTATGGATGTATGTATCGATAATTTGATATTCTCATCACACCTCGCATCATCCAGGTAAGCATAAAACATCAGCATCAGTATAATGTTCACCTTGAAGCAAACGAGATCATGGAAGAACAAGTTGCTAGCGCACTGAATGATATTTCTTTCTTTCTTTCAAAACGGAGGGAAAAGATTTGCCTCATCGATTAATTAAGAAGAAGAGAATTGCTCAGTTAATTAATGAAAAACCGGGCGAAAACCGATACATATAGACCACATGCAGACAACTCGCTAAGAAAGAAACTCCATGACTGCATGGCCAACCCGACAAACATACATAACACACAACAACCACGAACCCTCGCAGATCGACGTCGCAACGACACCCTCAACGAAACCACCAGACGCCACCAAATCCACAGAGGCGAGCCAATCGAATATGGATGACGAAGAGACTAAGTATCCTCCATTAAGCAGTCGTGGACGCCTTACCAATAATGGCATCCCTCTTCTTGCCTATGCTCCTGATAGCCTTCTTCACCTTTTGATTTTGCCCGTAGAGACCTCCTCCGCTAGGTGTAAGCAATCGTCTTGCAGACCCAAGACTTTTTACATCCTTAGCAAAGATGATTTGAGTGTATGGCTGATTTTAGGAACTACATCATGCACACAGTAACTAGTAATTGTCTGCAGTCTATATTCGGGCCCTATCCATGAAAATAATGGAATTTTAAACCTCGGAGTACCAAGTGTCGACCCCGGACATTGATCTTATTGTTTTTTAATTACACAAAACACAAACAAAGTCTGAGAAACATGAAACCTGAACATTGATCTTATTGTTTTTTAATTACACAGAATGCAAACGGAGTCTGAGAAACATGAAACCTGGCATATGGTGTCATTATATCATCCTAGAGGGTGCTAGAAAATTTGAGAAGGTTTCACAAACATTGTGACATAAACAACTTAGAAACGGAACATTCTCCGAAAAAGAATTGTTATTTCGGGAGGGAATGAGCCAGATTTTAAGGCGACGGATTTGTGTGGCTCCGATATCCCACCTCCCAACTCATATGCCTTTGTCGCCAACGCGCCATTGGCAACCGCCTCCTCCCCTCCCCAACCACCCAAGTCTCCTCCCTACTAGAGGACGAAGGTGCAAATTGTGTGTTTATCCATTAGGTGGCTCTGCTTAGTGTAACACTTCAGAAACATTATTTTCTTTTTTATTTTAATATATTTTCCTTTCTTTCATTTTATTTTCTTTCTTCTCTTCTCTTTTCAACCCACTTCTGCTAACTTTTTCATGCACTCATATTTCAAACTTGAATTACACACATTAAAATCCTAGAAATACACTTAGTGAGCTAAATATAGCAAACAAATCAGAAAAGGTGCCAAAATTTGGCATGGAATATGTGATGGTGTATGCAAAAGAAATCAATGTCACCGATAAACATCGCCATTGTTCTGCCCAGAGCAAGCATACAGGTGCACGCGAGCGCCGCCGCCTCTCCCGAGGATGCAAGGGCAACCACCAAGGACACGATAGTCACACTGAAACTGATCAGTACGCTGGAGCTGATGAGTGTTTTCATATACCTTTAGGTACACGAACTTGATTAATCTTTAATTTTCAATGTAACTTTTTCACATATAGGTAAATTTTTTGAGACGAATGACCTAGGACTGTAGTTACATGCAGTTTCTTGCCAGAGCTGTGATCTTTTTTTTTATCAATGACTAATTCACATGAGCACCAATGGCAAAATTTACATGTCTACGAAGTACTGGACGAGATTCTCATTATGGCGAGCTTCAGGTACGTATCAAGAACTCTGCAACACTAATTAGAAAAAACATGGATGTTTAAACTTAGAAGCCTTGGTGGTATGCACATAGACAAAAGTTGTATGTCCATCTTATGAGGAGAAGAAAAAATTATGAAGAGGATGAATCAGAAGAAAAATCATCATAAGTAGCAAGTAGGAAAATCCTCTTTGCTCACAGGAGCCATCTACAAAATACAACTGTCCATGTTTGTTAATATTTGTCTCTGCTATGTGATGTGATGTGTGCACAAATCATCACGCAACAGTTACATGATTTTTCGGGGTGGTGTCCTCGCCCCCAATTTGGTGTGAGTAGGCAGGGGGCTATAATGTCGATCAACTATTTTCAATGGCGATGCAAATACGGGGATTCCTAAACATCATGTATTCATGATGGACATGTGTGGCCGGGTGTGTGCTCATCTTGATGCTTCATTTTGAGTAATAAAATCCACCCTTTGTCGAAAAAAATGATGGACATGTGTATTTGGGTGTATTTTCCATATGCTTTGATCGGCACCGATCTACAATTTATTGTGGGTTTATCTCCATAAATCTTGGAATATAATGTTGCGACTTCATGCCATGGAAAACGTAAAGGACACACGTCTTGTGAAGATAGTGAATCAACAGCCCATGATGGTACATTTGTCTTTGGAAAATTGCTGTACGGTTAGTATTATAAACAGTGCAGTTCAAAATATGACCGAAGGTTTCGTGGTGTAGTTGGTTATCACGTCAGTCTAACACACTGAAGGTCTCCGGTTCGAACCCGGGCGAAGCCCTCGTATTTTCTATTGTGTAAAAAATACGCGTTATTAGCACGACGCTCTAACCAGCTGAGCTAATAATAAAGAGAAAACACACTGAAGGTCTCCGGTTCGAACCCGGGCGAAGCCATCCAAATTTTTTTTTTGTTTTTTTCTCGTATTTTCTATTGTGTATACGCGTTATTAGCACGACGCTCTAACCAGCTGAGCTAATAATAAAGAGAAAACACACTGAAGGTCTCCGGTTCGAACCCGGGCGAAGCCAAGTTTTTTTTTTTTTGTTTTTTTTCATTGTGCACAAAAAAAGAGAAAACAAAAAAAAAATTAATGGCCCATACAGGTCTCGAACCTGTGACCTTCGCGTTATTAGCACGACGCTCTAACCAGCTGAGCTAATAGGCCTTCTTCTAATTTCAAAGTTCTTAATTTATATATTTGTATAACCTGAATAAGTCTTGTATGATAGTATCTTCTTTGTTGTGACTTGTGAGAGGAAAATAATCACTCTCGACTTCTGCATCACAGGATATACATCACCAGTTTTTCACGGTATCCCTCCCTTCTATATTCTTGGATAGGAAATAACGGCCGGCATGGAGCACCCAAGACACCATATGAAATAACTGGCCACCTCACTTAATCGATCACCATCATGCAATTCTTTGGTTTGCGGCGTTTAAAGCCATAGACACATGCACATGGCTAAAAGATGTACATCAATCTTATGATGAGAAGAAAAAAAATTAAGAA